CAAATGGAGAGAGGTCCAAACCAGGCACTGCTGTGCCCCACCGCTCCTTAAGCTAAAACCAAGGAAGGAGCTGAGACTTCAGACCTTTTTAGCAGATCACGAGTACAAGCCAGTGGCCAGGTGAAGACAAGGCAAACTCCTCCTGCTGTCTCCCACTTGGGTGACAGATCCAGATCTTCTGGTTTTCACATGGAAATCCTCTTGGCATTACCCACGTCTGAGCACAGCACATCACTGCTGCTTTCTTCAGTGAAAGCCACCCAGCATCCTGGCACTGCCTGGGAGGGTATGAACTCCAGTGCCATTCCACACTTCAGCCCTACCTCCTCTCTGAAACCTCATGACATGGCACAGTTCCCTTCGCCAAGGTCCTGCTCCCCTCTGCCTTCCCCCATTACCCTTTCTCTCTGCCCTGCACCTTGCTCCCATGTCTTATCTCATCCCTTCATGGCACTCATGTTCTGAGCAGGTCCCACTGTGCCACCAGTAATTCCTGACATAAGCCAAGTACAGCCTCACACCACTGTTTTTTCACTGGTTGGGTTTTTTTAGATTCTGTGCAGAGTAGCAACTTGTGTCCACCTCGTCTAGTCAGGCAATCAGCCTCTTTGGCCGAAAGCAGTGTTTGTACAGGGCCCAGCACAACAGTCCTCACTCTCAATCAGCTCCTTCCTGCATTACCCAGCATAACAGAAATGGCATGTGAGAAGTGTAAGTGAATCAGTCTCTCCTTGAAGCATTTCAAAAATCCAAAGGAATCTGACAGAACGGAAGAGAAGGCAAAGAGAAGGAAAAGAAGAGGCAGGAGACGAAGCAAAGAAAATGGACAAGTTGGTTTTCACTGGAATCAGCATTCTGAGGTGCAGAATGTCCTTCCTGACAAGATCAGGATAAAAGCAGCATTCCTCTCCTTTACTCCTATACAACACTCCTTTTCTTTTCCTTTTCCCTTCCTAGATTACTTTGAACATTTACTTCCTTCCCAGTCTGGCACTTAAATGCAAGAAGTATCACCTTTATGGCACTCCCTTACTGACTGGGCTATCACAGGTCTGTGCTTTTACTACATGTTTGCCGAGCACCTAGTGGTATTAAATTGTTTACACTTCTTTTCTTCATCTTCCCACCTGCCAACAGCAGTCGCCGTCTCAAAAATCATACTTCCTTCTTCATTTCAGGACTTAAATAGTTCATAGAGCCTAATGTAACAAACTAACACCTTCACTGCTAAACACACCACAGCAATAAGGGGCCCATGCCTTACAAACACTATCAAATTCCTTTGGCATGTCTAAAATTACATTTTATCCAAGAAGCTGAAAGATTAAAAAAATAGAGCATTTTCCCTTCACTTTTATCAACACATGCATAATCCTTCTCTACTCTTTCAGTCATAGCAGGTTCTTTTAAGGGAAAACTGAAAATCACAAAAAACACTCACCAACAACCTCAATTTGAGGAAAAGCTGAGCAGCAATCTACAGGTGGTTCAAACGGCTTTGGATACAATTCAGTGAAAATTCAGCTACAGTTCCCTACTGCTTTCAATGATAAATAAAAATGAAGACTCATCTGGGGCAGGAAGACCTCAAAAATATTCAAAGTCTGTTCTCAATAAAGCAAATGTGCTCTGGGCCACCTCTTCCCACATGGATGTCATGCAAAGCACACATACTTCATGCGTGATCTTTGCATGACAGGTGTCACACAGTACACTGTGGATGACTCTATAAAATTCATTTTGACCTTACTTCCAACCAGATGGAATACACTTTGTAGCCAGCTAGCTTACCCCCAGCAGCTGATAAACTGGGTTTGTAAACACTACCCCTCCACGCCAGAGAGCTCCTAACGTTACTAGACAAAGACAGCAGAGACAAATGACTGATGTGTGAAGAACAAAGAACTGCCCACCCTGGAGGCTCTCAACCCCATTCACATGCAAGGAGCAATTCCTGCTCTTCTGCCACTAAGCCCTATCAGTACTTCCCAGCCCCTGTCACCCTCAGCCCTAAGAACTGTTGGCCCTAAGTGACCACAGAGATGCACTGCCAGCTTCCCTGTTGCAAGACACTGTGCATCAACAGGACTAACGCAGATTATTAAAAATTAAATGCACAAAGAAGTACTTTCAGCTGAGTCAAGGCCACAACATTCAATACCTGGCAGTTTCAAGGCTTTTTTCTGACCCAGGGTAACATACTAATGTGTCAAGGGGGGGGGAAAAAAAAAAAGAGTAAAGACACAAAAGTAAATAAACCCCAACAGATATTATATAACCTTATGAGTAGCAGAAGATTTTCCTGACCATAGCCTGAGTGAAAATAATCCTGTAGAAATCATTTCAGGAAAAGGAACTGGGAGCCCTGCTTGCTTGCCTCCACTGGGAAGGGTGGCTATCTGTGGGGCTGGAGCACTGCTTTTGGTGGAAAAGCTTCACCTGGAAGTATAACTAAAAAAAGCTGCAGCAAAGAATAGCAAACTACGACACTTCTAGGACAAAATGTGCTACAAGGCCATACCAGAACACCTGATTTTAGCAGGCACATACATGAGGGTGGAATTTGGCCTATATTCTGTACACCTGAAGTTACTGTTCATACATAAGGGAAAGCAACCCTCTCAATTGTCTCTACTGTTACAGTAGCAATCTGCAGAGAAAAACTAATCCTACAGCCTGCTGGACAGAAGGACTCCAGCCCCTTGGAACACAATACAAGGCTAGTGACAGTAAATCTGCATAACATAAAGAGACAATTGAAAAACTTAAATTCTGAACACTGGCCTATGAAAACTCCCTTCAAAAACTAATAAACCAAACCAAAAAAAAAACCAACTTTCTTTTAAATTAAAAAAAACCCAAAACTTTGCTACTTGTAAAAAATGCTGAATTCATCGAGACAGTGATTTAAGTTAAATAAACTCCATTAAGAGGCAGGGGTAACAATCCTCTTGGATTACAACCTTTCTTATTAGCCAATTAAATACCTGATGAGCTGCTCAGCTGTGATGTTAGCAAATCTAAAACATAGCAGCCACTCTCATTGCCCATCATTGTAAACACATCCCTTTTCCAAGCTACACCTTTATTTATGCCCATCAGTTTGCTGCCTCTTCAGAGTTAAAGACAACGATCAGTTTGGTACCCAAAGAAACAAGTTTCCAGGTCTTGGCTAGTGACATTGGTTAAACCACTAACTTTAATTCCTGTGAGAGGAAGTTGCTGTGCGACTTTAACTCTCCTCTTTCACTCCTGCAACAAAGGCTCTAAGCCTGAACTGAGGCAACAAGCAGGACAAGCAAAGATATGAGACAACTAACTTCTCATTTAGAAATGTAGAGCTTAATATGAAGAGCATGTAAGAACAGATTTCCTATCTGAACATCATGCAAGAAACCACTGCAATGTTTTCAGCCCATTTCCAGAGAGATGGTTTTCCATTGTGGCAGTTTCAGTACACTGGGTAAACATGGAACTCTCATTCAACTCCAGACAAAGCTGCAGTTTTATTGTCGCATCTTGCGTCAACTTTAACAAAGTGTTTCAGGTGGCAGCTGATAGAATTTTACACAAAGTAAGTAAGCATGCTCCTGTTATGAACTTTGTTCAAATGTTCAGAATCCAACAGAAGGTGGGAAAACCAAATTTTGAGTCTTTTAAATGGGCAAGTAATTATAGGGAAAATATTCAAGCCAGCTTCTTGCTAGGACTTTCTGGAGTTGTGGTTTACAGAAAGAGCAAGAAAACATAAAAAAACCCAATCTGGAGCTCCTGGTTTAATTTACATTTCTGTTCTAATTGAGCACCCAATTTGTCCATCAGGGGCTCCATCCAAGTTGTAGCAAAATAAAGTTTAGGACAGTTCTTGTAAGTTTAAAGTCAAAAAGATGGGTTTAATTCTTTACAATTTCAATCCTTTGGAGCTCTCTTCCCTCTATACCTTACATTTGGAAGTTATATTGCCAAGCAGTGTCAGCCCCAACTTTAGATGTCCTAAAACAACAGGACTTGCACAAAAGAAGCTTAATGACAAAATAAATACAACCAACATTGTTTCAAAGATTTATGAAAAACATGTAACATTAAGACAATTCTGGAAAATGTTGCTTTGTTGCTGTGGGGTCTGAAGTCATCAGGAAAGGGCACAAGTATATAACATCCTAAAAGAACAGGGCAATTGAATAAACCCATCCTCTTCCACAATGCTGCAGATTACTTCGTCCATGATGGTCTTGAAAATGAGTTTAACTCTACAGATAACTATGCTCTTCACAACAAAAGGAATGAAAATGAGAGGAAAACGTTATTGTTCACCAAACAGAAAACAAACAAAAACCAGCAGAAAGGCTAGTAAGGAAAGAATGGTTAATCTCACATTTCTAAAAGGGTATTATAAACAAAGCATGGTGAACAACAAAAATAAAGGATTAAAAAAACCAGACGATACAAAAGTGCTTAATGGTGTTCTTTTAAATATTTACTTTGCTGCTATTCGGAGAATAATTTGTTCCATTTAGTAGCATTGGGCTCAAAGGACTGCTTTAATCCAGAGAGATTAATTATAGCCTTTGGAGTTATAAACACAATTTGGGAAGTGAAGCAGAGAAGAGGAGAAAGACTCCTCTCCCACTGGCGATTAACAACTTTATGTGCTTCAGGGCTACAGTAAACAGTCTGTGACCCTGCTATACCTGTGCACTGCAAGCAGAACATTGCATAGGATACCCACAAATTGGGGAAAAACTGCCCTCGAGATAGTCCGGGAAGACACCACCCTACCTTACACTGTTGCTATAGGCAATTAAGATACTTCTCAGGTGTCCTTCACTGAAACACAAGTTCACCGCCGTGTTATGAAGACGTCATCTGATCTCACTTTTATTACCTGCTCCAGAAAGAAGGCTCCATGCCAAGACAAACAGCAGTCACAGGACCCCATCCACGCTGCCTTTAAACCTTTAAACCTTTCACATGCTTTCACGTATTTCTCACGCTGCTCATCACTGTGTCCCACACCAGGAGACACAGGGACCAGCAACAACGAGCAGGGCAAGGCTGGGAGCAATCTTACCTAGCAAGCGGTTGGCTGCTCCCTCCTCTGAGCTCTCTTCAGCCCCCTCTTCCCCCAGGCCGGAGGTAGCTGAGTCCTCTGGGGCAGATGCAGAGCCGGGGGTGCTGGGCCCACTGACAGACCCCGAGTCACCCTCCTCACTGCTGGAGCCGTAGCGGTCAGGCTGGGCAGTTGTCCCACCCTCACTGCAGTTCCTCCGCTCCTTGCGGTGCACCCGGGAGTGCAGCACCATTTGGTGGTAGGTGCGGAAGATCTTCCCACACTCAAAGCACTCAGTGGACTTGTTCTGGGTGGCCCTTCGGCTCTGCCGCGAGGCAGGGCGGTAGTCCAGATCCCCCTGGGAGAGCGGGCAGCTTTCTCCCAGTGGGGCACTGCTGGTTTTCTCAGGGCGCCCACTGGTGCAGCTCTTCTTCTTGGGGTTGCTGGGTGAGTCCTGGTCTCGTTTGCGCTTCTCCTGGTTGACAAGGATATACTCCCTCTTATCCTTGTCGTAAGTCACGTCTGCATCTGCCAGGGCCTCATCCCATCCCACATACTTCACATACTCTGAGGGCTCTACTACTTTTCCTTTGGTGGCCAGCTGCCAAGCTTGGTAGCTACTGACCGGATCCAGCTCAGCTACTCTTTTCCCAGGCTGTCCTCTTGTAACTCTATCCAGCCCTACAGATGGCCTTAGATTGAGACATTGCAAGAAAAACTGCTTCGTTACTGAGGAGCTCAGGCTCCCATCAGTCAAGCCCTCAGCTTTATCCCCGGTGCTGCCTGGCTGCACCCTGTAGTGAACAGCATTATGCACTTTCAGGCTTTCCATATTTGTAAACAGATTTCCGCACTTGGTGCAAACTTCATACAGAGACAGGCCTGTCACAATTGTCTCCTCTTGTATCACATCATTGATAGTGGCTATGAGCTCCAAATCATTTTTTGGTTTGTTTTTGCTCCCGGACCTGGGACCATGCGACTTCATGTGGTTTTTGAGAAACCAGGGCTCTTTGAATCTCCTGCCACAAATATGGCACCCATGATCAAATGAGCCCCTGTGCTTTTTCATGTGAGCTTTCAGGAACCAGGTTTGACTAAAGGCCTGACCGCAGACTTCACATGGAAACTCGCCCGCACTCAACTCGCTCTTGCAGTTCTCAGCGTAGGCCTCCCCATTGGGGACCTGAGCTGTTATATGGTCCTTCTCTACGTGGTTTAACAGCGTCTCCTCCCTCAGGGTCATGTAGCTGCACAACCTGCACTTGAATGGTTTGTGGACCTGGTGCAGGTGCTGCTCCAGGTCCTTCTTCCTTTCAAATTTGTTTTTGCAGAAAGTGCACTGGTAAGAGGCCAGCTTGACATCCTCCTCGGCTGGCACTGCCTCTATGACCTCCTTCTTGCTGCTTCTCAACAAGATCTTGCTGCTATCAACCTGAGCGGTACCGTTCAAGATCTTGTTGCAGGCAGACGTACTTTTAGTGGGGCTAGTGCACCCGCCAAGGCCCTCTGAAACGCCCATCTCCCCCAGCTGTGCCTCTCCCATCTCTGCCTCATGCCCCTGACTTAAAGTGCCTGTCCTGTGACTACGGATGTGAATCTTCAGGTTGCCCTTTTGGGAAGCTCTGTGATCACAGTAAGGGCATTTGTAGGGCTTCTCACCCGTGTGCTTCCTCATGTGCTGCGACAGGGAGCTCTGAAAAGGGAAACTTTTACCGCAGATGCAACAGCTGTGGCACATGGTCTTATCAGAATCCACATCATTCTTGCTTAGCTTGCCAGGGCTGGAGGACCTCCGTAGCTCCATTTCTGCCTCTCTGCTACGATCCATCTGTATTACTGCAACAACGGGTAAGCGGGGCAGGAGGACAAAAGCATGTCCGGCAGCAGAGGAGGGCTGGACCGCGTTTTCAATCATACGGGTCTGCAGAGAGGTGTTTTATTGTTTCATTCTCGGGGTAACGTTTCTCCTTTCAGCTGCTCCAGAGAGTCCAAAGCACCGTTTTAATTCTGCGTGCTCTGTAAGCAGATGGCATAGATCACCTGAAACAAGAACAAAATCATACAAATGTACAGTAATTGTAAAAGCAGATTCTTAAACATATTCAAAACCTATTCATGTTTTTAATTCAACAGCTTCCATCACTCGCCCCACATTCTGAAACACACCATACTACAATTTCTTGCACCAAAAAGCAGCAGTTTCTATTTTTGCTGCTATTTTAGACTTCAATGACACGCATAATTAATAAATAAGTAAAATCCATAAAAGAGCAAACATTCATTTCCATACACTGACATCACAGCGTCTTTAAAAAGTGAACACTTTAAAAATACTTTCTGTTCTAAAACAGGCAGAAGGGGCTAAAAATACACCTTAAATGAGGAAAACATTTCTTGAGGGGGTTATTACACTTAAAATCTGTGGCTTTACCATCATGTGTAATTTCATGTAAAATACTTACTTGCCAAAGATAACATTCATTTCCATACACTGACATCACAGCGTCTTTAAAAAGTGAACACTTTAAAAATACTTTCTGTTCTAAAACAGGCAGAAGGGGCTAAAAATACACCTTAAATGAGGAAAACATTTCTTGAGGGGGTTATTACACTTAAAATCTGTGGCTTTACCATCATGTGTAATTTCATGTAAAATACTTACTTGCCAAAGATAAAAGGCCTTCCTCTTTAGCAAGTTTTTTTTGCTGGCAACTGCATTACTTTGCATCTCAGACAGCTTCTGCTGTGCTTGATGTGGCATGCACAGAGCAGGCGCAGAGGCTGAGGAAGCTCAGTACTTTGATTAAAGAGCAAACAAGAATCCAGACCCTGACAAAGCATTCATGAGAACTAAAAAAGTTATTTCCTGATGGACTATGAAGGAAAAAAAAAAAAGAAACACACAAACCCTCAATGCACAAAATTTAGTCACAATCTAACAAAGTAAACTGATAATGTAGATATGTATCAAATGACCTTAAAAGTCAATTATCTGTGTTAATGGGACATACAGGAAACCACAGAGCCACCCACTTCAATGAGACAGAATCTTAACCATAGAAAAAAACTCAAACAAAACAAGAAACAACTCTGATTAACAGAACAGATTCATCAAAGTTTAATTTTTTTATCTTGTCCTGATTAAATGAAAGGATCAGTATCTGCCTCGCTGCAAGATGGAACACACCAGCAATTCTCCACCATGTATACAGCAAAATCCAATGGTCAAGATCCCCATAGGTTGTTTCTTTTCCAATTACCACACTGTAGAACAAAATTTCCCCCCCTTCCTATCCTCATTAAGGACTACAAACACCAAATGACTAAGATCAAAGAACACAGCATTCTCTAATGAAGAGAACCAATCTATTGCCACATTAAGAAAACATCAGCTTCTTAAAATGTAGCAAAAAAAATATGCAGAGCTTTAAGAAGAACATATATTCACACATCCCTCACTTAACATCTATGACTCAACAAAGAGCTGCAGATCTACAGTTGCAAATTTTAAGATTTCTCATTGTTTTCACCTCTGAGTCTCTTCAGCACGTAAATAAACAGTCTAACCACAACACCAGCATGAGCTTAACAAAAAGCAAGGTAAGACTGTTGCAATGTTCATCTTGGTTACACACTAGAGAACAACTTCATTTCATTTATGTTAATCTAGCCCTCTTATTTGCTACAACACCATTCATTTCTGGGTTTGATTTTCTGCATACCTAGTATCCACTCAGCATGTTAAGAGCCAGCAAACAGCATCTACCCAAACTACCTTTTCCTCAGAGAGCTAACAATAATATTTAAGGGATGAGTTAAAAAAGTAATTTTATTTCTTGAATGAAGCAATTTTTTACTATTGTTAAAAAAATGAATAAAAATTTAGATGTCCATATGAGCAGGAAGTTTACAAACAAGAGTATCTAAATTAATCTTTGAAATTAGCCATTTAAAACCAAATTGAGGGACAGCCTCAGAAGAAACTTCTCAGGTATATAAAGGATGTCAGCTACTGTAGCTGTGGCTGTACAAGAAGGTACAAATATGCCAAACAGCTAACACAAATGCAGTTTATGCTTAGTTTCTATGGATGAAGCAATTCAGAGTAACATCTTGTTTATTTGACCCATAATCTAAATCTGCCAAGTAACAGCCCATATTGTCTTATAATCAGTTAACCTCATTGAATCATAACAAGAAACAAAAGAGTAACTTCTTGTTCAACTATACTATCGTGTCAAATGCAAGCAACAGCTTCTTCTGAAACGTTCTGCACCATTTCAGAAAAAAACCCACAAAAATAGCAAGCTTTGGGGACAGATTTTTTCAGGTATTTTATACAATGTTTTCCACATTTTTAATTTTCTACAGTTTACACCAGTGAGAACACCGCTTTTACTGGCAGGCTGACTTTCAGACTAACGACCTTTTAGTTATTATTTTTAAATGTAGGTCCCATTTTAACTTAACTTTCTACAGCATTTCCTGTCTGAAAGTTCAAAAGAGCTTCGAGAGCCAAACTTAGACAAGAATGCTGTATGCAGCAGTTCAAGCACATGTAAATCCAAAGCTTCAGAATCCCTTTGTTTACTTGGCCACAGATTCCCTAGGCTTAGTCTTGACATATTTCACTTTAATTATTTATAGCATTTTCATTAATGAAACTTAGTTATGAAAATGAGGCTATGAAGAAAGCATTACTTATACGAAGGGTATTAGCCACTCACAGGAGATCTCCCTGGCCCTATATTAAATTAGGCCTGAGGGGGGAAAAAGTCAGAGCTAAAAAATTACTGAATTATTTTATTAGTCTGAAATATTTAATGGAAGTGTTATCATCTTCACCAAAATATTTTGAGAAATAATGTTTCATCTTTATTACTTTAGCTTGGCCAACGCACTGCAATTCGTAACTTTGAAAGCTGAAATAAAGTATTCCCAGATTTGAATTATTTGAATTCATAAACATTTAAGACTCACAAAATTTTAAGTCTGGTCTTCCACAGAGAGAAATCCTACAGGGAGGAAGGGTGTTCACCCAACTTGAGCTTGCTTTACAGAATGTGTGGAAGCCTAGCTTAGGCTTTGGTAGATCGACCAACACAAATATATACAAACAATTCATGCCCCTCCCCATGTCATCCGAGTGCCACTTAAAAGTAATCCATCTAAAGGGGCTTCGTAGAACAGCAATGCCAGTTGTTCATCAGAAAGTAGTAAACAAAATGACAACTTCAAAAAAAGTTTCAATTCAGAAGACTGAACATACATGAGGAAGAAAACCACTTGTAAAGAATCCTACCAACCGAAAACAACATTCTGGTTTAATAATTTTAGCTTATTATTAATTACTAGACATCAAAGATGGCACAAAGGATGAAAGATGTCAACTGGTAAATCAAACTATACCGATTACTTTTTCGTTGTGAATAAAATCTTTCCACAGCTATTTGTGTTTCTTTCTGGCTGAATGTGATGATGAAAATACTTGTAATATTTGAAATAATTCCAAATTTGAAAGTATTCTGAAATAATTCTCTTTCAGCACACATGGAATACAGTCACCTCCAGCAATCCTCAGGCTACTAAAAACACTTCACCTTTCAGCAATTTCAGGCAGTAACAAATAACCTTTCAAAGTTTTGGTCCAAGCTCAGCCTGCAGTTCCGATGCATCAGCTTGTCACACAGAATCCATAGCAGAGTCACATCCAGCCTGCAGATTTCTCCCAGA